TTAAGTGATTTCCGTGCCTGTCTTGACTGTTTTCTCAGACCATGAGGACAAGTAGAAGTCCAAACATTGAGATCGGACTGATGGCAGAGACTGTATGCGTGCTCCTCCTTCCCCTCCCGGCTCTTCTCACCTTGCGCTGCAGCTTTCCCCTCCTTCGGCTCGCCCTCACTGGACTTCTGAGACAAGAATCCCCTAGTCTCGCTAGTAGCCCAGGCACTTCTCGTCTTTCAGTGAACCTCTCCAACTTCCCCAGCTGACTCCGCCGGACTGGCAAGTTCACGCAATGGGCGGGCCCGCCGCCGCTCCAAGCGTGTCCGTTGATTATCCGTTACGTTGCTTGCAGGATTCGCAATGCTAGGGGGTTGGCGAAGTGCAGTGAGGACAGCGACGATGCTGGGGGAGAAGGGGATGAAGATGAGCGACGCTGTTCCCGTCAGCTTCTCTTCTCTTCTCTTCTCTCCTCTTCTCTCTCGCTCTGTTCTTCCCTCCTCCCTCCTCCCCCGAGGCTTGCAGACTCGTTGCCCATTTAAAACTCCTTCGCTTGTCCCGGGACGCACGTGCACGTCGCTGCTGCAGGAAAGAAACATGCATGCTCGCATTCACGGGACATACAGCCTGCAGAAAGTCAGAGGAGCGTCTGCTTGGGCTGTATCGATCGCTTCCTGCCATGCAAGGGCCATGAGCTCGAAACCCTCCGGTGAGGCTGCGGGCAAGAACCACCTGGAAGATCGCTTGTCGAGGTACCCTGAGCTCTCAGTCGGGGGGATTCTACGAGCTGGCGACTATCTGGGTACGGCGACATTCGCCATGACGGGAACGTTGACAGCGGCGTCATCAGGGATGGACTTGTTGGGTTGTGTCGTAATAGGTACCATCACGGCAGTCGGAGGAGGAACGATAAGGGACATGCTGTTGGGGCACGAGAACGGGAAATCAAAGAGAGCGTTTTGGATGGACGAGCAGGAGTACCTTTGGATCTCCATCTTGTCGTCGGTCATGACTTTCTTCTGGTGGAATCATGCTGCCCAGCAACTCAAGCTCAGCCAGGAAGACACGTGGATCTTCTGGCTTGACTCTTGCGGCATCGGCGTCTTCTGCTGTATCGGCGCCATGAACGGAGTGCGGGCAGGTCTCTCTCCCTTCCTCTCCGCCCTCTGCGGGATGATCACGTCGACCTTTGGGGGGCTGACAAGAGACGTCCTGACGCATCGACCAGTCAGGATCCTTCACTCGCATGCAGAGCTCTATGCCACCACAGCCTTCTGCGGAGGAGGCGCCTACGTGGCGGCTCGTATGATGGGGATGCCCATGTATGTGCGAGCAGCGAGCGGGTTCGTGGTTGGGTTCGGATTGAGGACGGTTGCTTGGCTGTACGACATCAAGCTGCCTGTCAAGGAAAGTATCTACCACCACTAGAAGGTGCACCCATACTCCATAATTTACATACAGCAACGAGAATTATACAGTGAAGTGCGACGATCATAAGGAGGCGTCAAAGATGTTGTCGTTGAGGAGGTCCAACAAGCTTTCTTCCGACATGAGGCTCGTCTGTGAGTCTCTCTTCTGATCCACCAACGTCGAGGTGATCCATGCGTCCTCGTAGTTGCCCTTGTAGTCCGAGTCACCTGGACTGATCGCAGCGTCTGCGAATTCAATGAGAATGTTCTCGTACTCCCGGAGAAGATAGTTGGCATGAGTGATCAGCGGGAAGCTGCTTCCTCCTTTCACCATTCGAAGCACGCTTCTTGTGTCCTTGCACACCTTATGTAGAGCGTCATCAACCTTCCTGGTATGTTCTAACTCGAGTAGCTCTAGCTCAAACCAATCAAGAGCTGCCAGGAGCGCAAGAAACACGAGGCCTTTGGAGGCACAGATTGTCTGGCATCTTTGATAGTCGAGGCGAATTCCTTTGATGTAGTTCACCCATATCTCGTTGTCTGCAATGTTTTCTTGTGCCAGCGACAGCATCGCCATATTCCGCACTCTCAAGTACTCAGAGAATAAGTAGGTTCCCGATCGCTCCACGGTTTGCATGCTTGAGTCGACCATGTGCTTCACGTTCTTCCATTCGCTCTTGAGAGCTGCCACGTATACCCCCAGGATCGATTCATACCTCTCCCCCGTCATGAAGTCTGAACGAATTGGTATGCGCTTGACAGGCTGCTGAGGTCCGTGATCCGAGTTCGAAGGTGCAGTCTGGTATCCACCAGCTTCACCGCTTTCCATTGGGCTTCGTTGATGCAGCAGCTCGTCCCCAGTTGATTCGCTTCTACTCAGCGATGAGATTGCCCAGGCCAGTGCTCGTTCTGCTATGTCTTTGCACTGACCTAAATCATACCTCTGCGCAAGTATTAGAGCCCTGTTAGACAAGTCCCGACAACGATGGTAATCTCCATTCAACGTGAAATAGTCCGATATCAAATTACAGAACATCTGACAAATAGTAGGCGGGTGATCGATAGTTTCTATCAGTTGCATGATTTCCTTGAACTTTTCCTCTGCCTGATCGATTTCTCCAGATATCAGCAATGCAGTTGGCCACTTGGACAAGTTGACAATGGTCAAAAGTACACCATTTATCATCGGGATTTCGGTTTCCTGTGTAACATGTTCCTGGTAGTGCCCGTACAGATCATTCATGTACCTTAATACACCAGCAAAATCCCCAAGACTGTGCAACGCTTGAATCATAAAACATAATCCAACCTCTTTGTGAAAATTTGAAATCTTGAGGCCATTCCGAAACATGCATACAGCAATCTTTTTCCCAGATTCAAACAGCTGTCTGGCAAACAGGTTGGCGCATACACCTGCCAGGATGACGACCGCCTGATCATCGAGCGTCGCGCTCTTGATGACATGCCGCAAACCATGATATGCTGCAATCGATTCACTACTCCCGTGACCATAGACAAGTAGCGTGAGAGGAGCCATTTCCAGAAGCAGACCGACCTTGTAATCGATGATTGACTGCATGCTTGCCAGACTATTTGTCATTCGACACGCTCGTTGAAGCATTTCTAATGCTGCACCAAAGGCAAGGTTTTCCACAGCGAATTTAGCGGCCTTGAGGGTATAGTGCATAGCCTTCAAGACAGTTTCTGGTTCCACCATGTTATGGTCACAAGCATGTGTCCAAAAATAGGCTAAAATCAGAAAGGAAGATTTGACATCTTTCCGCAAGGCATGCTCATAATATTCTGCAATTATCCGATGCCATACGTGCAAGTACGTTCGGAGAAGTTGTTTCAGGATGTTGTCAACCAGACCAGGCACAATAATTTTCATGATGTTGGAAGCAACATACCTGGATGTCACTAACTCTACATCTTTCATCTCCGTATCATTTTCTTCCAAAATCTGTGCCTTGCATTCCTCAATACCAACTGAATCTTCTTCGATCTCCGACACCTTCCTCTTAGAAATGATGTTGTTTGATGGCACGATGTTTTTGTCGATTCGAATAAAGTCCTCCATGCTGACTCCAGAAACAGCAAATAGCTGAACGTGGATTGAGCACTGCAAACCTTGCTTCCTTTTTGTCCAAGCTGAGCAGGTATTGCACTTGCACCGTTCATTTGAAAACAGCGTTTCGAAATCCTTCTCCTCTGCAAAACTTAGTACACCCATCTCAATCAATTCTTTAATGCCTTTGTCAAAATGTTGCCCGAAGGTGGGAAAGGTTGCACAATATACGTTTCTGGCCAGGGACAAATTGAAAAAGGAGTCATGAGACAGGAAACACAAGACCTTGATCAAAACTTGCAGGTAGAGTAACATATTGAGCTCACCACGCTGTATGGCCTCAAGCTTTGTCAATCCACATTCAAGACCATTCAAATTATCACAATACAGGATTGTGCCATTTTCCCCCTTCTGTATGTGCCCTTCACGGATCAGGTTGTTACACACGTTCTTCACAAACAAGCATGAGCATTCTCCGGCAGATACAAGTTCCAACAAGTAAGACTGTAGTGCAATTGGAATAGAATCTACTTCAAGGTAATTCTTCACAAAGTGTTGAACTCTGTCCAAAATTTCATCTTTGGGTAACTGAGATGATACTCTGTACACTTCAATGGGTTCATCTCTGCCTTTCACCTTTAACGGCTCCATGGTTTGAAAGTCTACAAACAAGCATGACGAATCTTTTGTTTCCAAATCAACAAAGATTTCATGTTCGACAGCTTTGCACATCAGGCGCGCTGCCATGTTAACCATGCTCCCCATGGCGCACATTTCCCTGCGAGATGAGCTCCCGACGAATCCTGAATACGCTTTGCCTGAAGTTATGCCAATGCTTGTTGCAATCTTCATTTCCATTAATTTCTTCCTTATCTCGATCGCAGTCAAAACAGCACGCAAAGGGTCATTCGTATGCGGATTGAAAGGTGGCATTCCCATTACACAGATAGCCAGCACACCTTTGTCGTCTTGCAAAAATTGACGTAGAGTGCCCTTCCTCTCGTAAGTAGCTTTTTGGATAGCAAGTAACGAAGAATGAATTCGCTGTATGGTATGCAAGCAGGGGTTATCTAGGTCTTCCAGATGCAGTCGAACAAAAAGCACAGTCATCCGGCGCACATCTCCTGCCAAATGAGCAATGTCTTGAAGATCCCGGGCACCTTCATGACAGTACCTTTTCAAATCAGGGACATGACTGCAAGAGTTGGAAACTTTTTCAGCAGGCAAATCAATTCTTTCAAAATCGATATCCTCACTTTCACCCTCAATTGAGTCGTCTGGGCTATTTTTGAATTTGAGCTCAAAATTTCCCGTCAATGTCTTGTCGCCGTCGAATTGTTCACAAACAAAATTCCAAGCAGAAGCATGTACAATTATGGATCCAATATCTGCTTCACCCAAAGCTAATGCTGCCTCGTTCAGAGCCTTCCCGATGACCAAAAATTCTTTTCTCTCACCACTGTGAGGATCCAGCTCTGCCCCACCAACATGGGCAAACCAAACCTGACCAAAGCTGATGGCTTGATGCAGTCTCAAAGTTACGCATGATGGAAACTTCATCTCCTTTCCCGAGAGCCTGAAATTCATCACTTCCAGAATCGAAGATTTCAATTCGGGCTTTCGTTGCATGAAAGGAAATAGTGCTTCACGACTTACGACAAGCATTGCACAATTAGTTGCCGCCACGATCGAAGCCATCCTCCGCTCTCCAGATAAGAGAGAGACTTCTCCGATCATCTCACCCTCCTCTCGCGATGCTATCTCCTTGCCGAACCCCATGCTTCCAGAAGATGAATCTGAAGGGGTAGAATCTTCTCTCTTGTAGACAGAAACTATTCCAGAATGAACTATCATCATCGAGTCACCCTCATCCCCTTGCTGCATGATTAATTCCCCCTCTGCATAATTGATCAATTCGCATTTCTCAGCAAGTCTGATGATTTCTTCGTTGTCAAGAGCCTAGGTACACAAATCACTCAAAGGAACTTTTGAGATATGCAATACCTTAAACCAAGGGACTGCTCTCAAACGTCGACGAATTTCCAGTTTTTGTAGTTGTGCAGCAGATGACAACCATTCGTCACCATCATCTTCAAAATTTTCCATCTTCGTTTCGGCAAAATTGTGATTCCCAGATAGCTCTTCAGATAAGTTGGCAGCTGGCGCAAAGTGACGAGCAAGTTGATCGGCAAACTCCAAGGTTTTTGAATCTGGCATGTGAACCTAGAAAATGGCGGACAATCAGCGCGGATTGGATACATAACAAGGAAAATCACCAACCTTAAAAACACCATGGCGTTCTAGCGAAATGGCACAATTGATGGCTTTTTCAATTGTCTTTCGAAATCGAAATTAAATGTGATCAAGTTTGCTTTCACAAGTACCTGTGCTTGCGTACTTTCGGTGCACTCCCAAATCACAATCAAGGCATCTCCAGCAAACTTGATAATATCTCCTGAATATGACTGCACTCGATCGATGATCGAACTAAACATATGGTTGATTGTTGACGTAAGTTGATCAATTCCTTCTTGTCCAAAGCTTTGAAATCGATCAGAGAGTCGGGTAAAACCCTGGAAAACCAAAGATCGTGTCATTTCTGCTCGACAAGTTTGAGCCAATACCAACCGAAATGTCAACGAGCAAAACAACAGCATCTCTCAACTCTGCATCCAATCCCTGGAATATCAAATGAGCTCGGAAGCAAAGTCAAGACAAGTCTTCACCATTGCTGAATCCGTGGACCCAGTTTTTGCTTGATTGACAGGACCATCCTGGATGGAGGAACCAATTAGTCATTCTCATCATAAACAAAGATAAGAATCTTAAACCGTTTTTGTCGATCTCAAGACCTTTGCGATGGCTGCTTTTGGCAAGAAGCTCTTGTAATATCTGAATTGAACCATGTTGTATTCGATGCAATTTGATTCCGTTCGCGGTATGTTGTATGCCATATCATTACCGCCACATGCTTCTTGCCCATGCAGCGGATCATCCGAAGCTGATCTTCGAAGAGCCATAGGCAAGTTCCCGTTGTGAGTGGCCTTCTGTTTCATGCCATCTTGTGAGCACGCGGATTCTCACTCATACATCTACGATGCATTTCTTGAATGGCAGAATAATCCTCTGAAACAAACTCGAACTGCAGGAAAAGATTCAAAGCAGGTTACCAACATCGCAGTTCGCATTGCAACATCGCAGTTCGCATTGCCATTTAAAAAATACTACTCATGAAAAATGTCATCACTCGTCATGTGGAAATAAATCTACAAGAGGGGAATGAAGCTCTAAAGCAGAATGACGGAGTAGATGTGAAGCAACCGCGTGAAGACATAGGTGGTCAACCCAGGTAGCCGGGAGTGTGAGAGGATCAGGCACAAGCATAATTCACCCTAGGAAGGAATGGACACATGCACCCCTGCAAGCACAAGCAAGCAAGACCCGGTCTCCGTTTACGAGAGGAAGCGAGAGATTGTCTTGACATCGAAGTTGCCATAGAGACGAATCAAGGAGGAGGAGGATAAGGATGAAGTTGCAATCAGCGGCTGCATCTTTCTCACCTTAGCCATGCTTCATTGCTGGTACCATCTCGCTTCCCTTCTACTACCCCCACCCCACTTTGCTCACACCACCCCGGGGATTCTGATGCCCTAGATCACCCCCTACCCCCTCCATAACCTCGTATCACCCCCCATTGCTAGTACACATTGACCCCTGCACCCTCCATAACACCCAAACAAAAGAGGGGACCCCAGACTGACCCAATATGAGCACCCACCCCACCTTCCCACCACACCACCCTACTGAAGCGAAAAATCACCCCACTCATCAACACACCCTACCCCGGTATCAACCACTTTTCATTTTAATTCCTAATCCAACGAATCAAAATTTGAACCAGTAAGTTCATATTTGAAAACTCGCTCATCACATTCCATTCTTTGAGAATCTCGAGATTCCCCTGCATATCCACACCCGGCTCACGTCAAACCTGCGAAGGAGTACCCCACCCCCATTTATTCCCTTCAACTACCCACCTTTACCTGATACAACCCCTCACACCTCCCACCCCACCCTGCCTGTAGCACCGCGATTTTCGGACTACCCCACCATCTTTCAAATCTCGCAAGTCACAATTTCCCACCCCCGCAGCCTCCTGCCGTGTGTCTCACCATCGACTCCACCCCTCCATTCAATGGGATAATCACCGGTACTTGAAAACATCGCAGCCCCTAGTTCAAGCACCCCTCCTAATACCTACCATTCAATACCCCAGGTATTTGCATTCAATACACCCCTGGTGGTAACTCATTCTGGGGTGAAGCAGCTTGTTCAAGTGCGATATGCGCAAGGGAGCAGGACAGGCAGAAAAGGCAAGAAGAGAAGAAGAGAAGAGAAGTCAAGAGAAGAGAAGAGAAGAGCAGAGCAGAGAAGAGCAGAGAAGAGAAGAGAAGAGAAGAGAAGAGAAGAGCAGAGCAGAGCAGAGAACAGAACAGAACAGAACAGAACAGAACAGAACAGAACAGAACAGAACAGAACAGAACAGAGGAGGCGTCAAGGGAAGAGAAGAGACGTCAAGAGAAGAGAAGAGACGAGAAGAGAAGTCAAGAGAAGAGAAGAGAAGAGAGGAGAAGAGAGGAGAGGAGAGAAGAGAGGAGAGGAGAGGAGAAGAGAGGAGAGGAGAGGAGAGGAGAAGAGACGCCAAGAGAAGAGAAGAGACGTCAAGAGAAGAGAAGAGACGTCAAGAGAAGAGAAGAGAAGAGAGGAGAGGAGAGGAGAAGAGAAGAGAAGAGAAGAGAAGAGACGTCAAGAGAAGAGAAGAGACGTCAAGAGAAGAGAAGAGAAGAGAGGAGAAGAGAGGAGAGGAGAGGAGAGGAGAAGAGAAGAGACGTCAAGAGAAGAGAGGAGAGGAGAGGAGAGGAGAGGAGAGGAGAAGAGAGGAGAGGAGAAGAGAAGAGACGTCACGAGAAGAGAAGAGAAGAGAAGAGAAGGGACGTCAAGAGAGGAGAAGAGACGAGACGTCAAGAGAAGAGAAGAGACGTCAAGAGAAGAGAGTCTGAGATGGCAGGAGGCATGTTGTGAATCAGAGGAGAGGGAAATGACAGGGAACGGCCCGAGAGCGATTGAGAGAGGACAGAGGACTCCATGAGGAACTTGTGATGGTGTGCGCTATCAGCGACTCGTTGGTCAGAGATGAGATGACATTCAAACGATAAGAGTAGAAAGAGCAATGTTGATCCAGAAGAATCATTGTTAGAAAGACATTTTAAGTGTTTCCGCTTGTTTTCCTTTCTTGATTTATGAAGCTTGAAAGAGTGCTGTCTTGTCTGGACGCATCCTTGTGTCTTCGACTTGTTCTTCCCATGACGAGCGTCCCTCTGATCAATTTATTGCCCGAATGTTGTCCGTGCGGTTCTGATCTGTTTGAATGCATTAACGACGGCTTCACCCACATCACTCTGGGTCGCTTCCTCTGATGTACCCGGTGTTAGCGTCAGGTTCTTCGCGGAAGGATGGTCGCTGAAAAAAAACGTTTGAACTTCGCGACGGTATGTTCATCGAACATGAACAGGTGACGAAGCAGAGATGTTCCTTCCCACTCTGTGAGAATCACTGCCCTTCTAGGAGTATGGAGGCGCACAAACAGTTGCTTCATTCAGGTTTTAATGTCACATCCTTCGGAACAGGAACAAATGTGCGTCTCCCTGGGCCTTCCCAGGTAACGAACACAGGAGTTTGGTTGATAAGAGGCTAACGCAATGTCATGAAAAGGACAAGCCTAATGTATACGAGTTTGGAACGCCCTATGCTGAAATATTGGTTGATTTGCAAAGAAAGGATGAAAACCTGTATAGAAACAACGGTCTGATCGCAATGCTTCAAAGAAACGTCAATGTAAAACGAGCGCCCGAGCGGTGGCAGGTATTTCAGTGACACTGAAGCTGGACCACGTTTTTAAGTAGAGCCCAGGACATGGATCAAAACCGAAAGCTTGACGTCGTTCTGACCTACGAAGAGCGAGTATTCGACGCAGTTCTGCAAGGTGCTCTTTAGCAACGATTACTGTTGCCCTCGAATTAACCTTTTTTCTATCAATCTTATTTCATGGCAGACTTGCAAGGACGAGAAAGTGAGAATATGAGGGCAATGCATGTTATCAACCTCGAGACTATTGACAAACATGAAGAAGCTGTGATTGCTGCGCAAGACACTTGCCAGCTCTGTAGAATGGTACACAATCCTTGCCACGCGCATGAGTTTGATTGTTTTGCTTTGCGCAGTTGGAATCTGCGGCGGACTTGGAAAGTGAGATTATGGAAGTCCTATCAAAATTTGAAAAGAATTCTAAGCGATCTTTTATGTACTCACTTGTGTATTTATGATTTTGGGTGAATGATTGTTGGTTATGGATCATGTCAGCTGTGTTGGAATGTTGGTTCATTCTCGCCGCTGTGGATTGAAGCTTCGAGAACAGCCTGGGACGTAGAGAAGATGATAGCCAGTTGATTCTCTACTTGATCCATGTTTGCCCACGAGGACGTGCGTGACGAGCCGCGCTTCGTCTCGTCATGCCCTGTCGTCACTGACCATGCCGCTGCCGATTCATCTGGCAACTTGTCAGTGATGAGATTGCGGGACACGAGCAAACAGTCACAGACCCTCAAGTGGTATCAGCCTGATGCTGGAGCTCCGCTGCATAACCCTGCCACTCGCACCCCCTTGTTGTAACATGGAAGATCTGAGGGGAGATCTTCCGACGTCCACAGACAATTCCTGCTTAGTTTCTTTCATGTGTGAGCGATCTGCTTCTTCTTTCATTGGTGAGATCAGCTCCTCGAAGATAGAAATCTTGCTTGCAGAAATCTTGTAAGACACAGCAGAGGCATCCGGACACTGATTGGACAGCATCTCATCAAGATCAGACAGTTTTCTATCTTTGGTTACTTCATGACTTCGCTCGTTGGAATGTGAAACTCGGTTGTAAGAATCATTTTCGCATCTTGATAAGTGGTCCTGTCTATTCAAGTTTCCATGTGATACGGTATCGGCTGGCGTCGAAATGGACGAAGAAACAAATCTTTCATCATGCGTTTGTGTCTGATCCCACAGATCCTGAAGGCAAGACATTTGTACCGCAATTTCGCTTTCATGCAACTCACTTGCTGCTTGTAATTGTGCAATCTTCTCTAATAGCATCTCTTCACGATACGCTCCTGCGCGGCAGGACATGCACATGCCGCGCGGAACTGAATTCTGAGCATTGTTTGAAGATGGATCAATTTCCGTGCTTACATCTCGGATGACTTGAGCAGTGGCAGCAACGATGTCCAGCAAGGCGCTTATGATCGCAAGGAATGATCTCTTCAGGCTCTCGTTGTGTCTCCTCGAAATGAGCAGCGATGCGGCCAAGGTGCTGACCTCGTCATGAAGCCTCGCAACGTGCCTGCCATGTCGTTCAGCTGCGTGCTTCAGTATGCGTGATATGGAGTGCGACGCTTCCTTGCCCGCCAGTGCCTCCACCTGATCAAAACAATCACCAACTCCAAACTGGATCAGACCCAACCATTTCCATGAAATCTTCTGCATCCTCATCTGAATGGTGGTGATTATCTCCCAATTGTTCACCATGATTCATTAATCTCTCCTTGCTGTCATTCTTGTAGATCAATTTCATCCCCCAATAGTCGCCGCGGCTACCACACATTACCTATTGTACATTCCCTACCTCTTTCACCTCCATCACCATCACCTCTACTCCGTCCTGCGTCTCTCATTCACTGATTCCAGTAACTGTCAGCAGCTCACCAGCTCCCGCGGGTCTATCGCCATCTTCGCTCTCGTCATTTTCAAGTTTCGTTCAAACAAACCAAAACAGGTTCGTCTTGACAAGGTCTGTCATCATTCATCATCTCACCGAGTCATCACGTCACTCATCACTGTCGGTGCCGGTGGCCGGGCCGCACTGAGGCGGTCGGAGCCCCCCGGGCCCGAGTCCGGGGGACTCCGGGCGGCGGCCTGTTCAGCCTCGGAGCCTCGGCGGAGGCTTGAAGATAAGGCCGCGGCTGAGCCCGTCTCAGTGGTGGGCCTGGCCGGGCCCCAGCAGCCCGGCCTGCCGCCGCCGCGTGTGCCCGCCCCCCCCCCCCCAGCGGCCACTGTGACCGTTCACGTATCACTTAAGTTTGGGGGACAGCAGTCGGCAGGATTGGGTTTGGTTCTCGCTGTCTTTCTTTTCTCGCCGTTTGGCCTGTGCGACAGTGTCAGGCCCAGCGGCCTGAGTCCTCAGTCGACTCTCATTATTGTCCTCGTACTGATTTTTAACTTAACTTTGAGTAAAGCAAGGTTCACCGTGGCACGGTTCAGTTCAGGCCGGGCCCGGCGGCGGCGGCGGCGGCGGCGGCGGGCGGGCCCGATGTTTTTCAAGTCAGGTCACGGTCCGGTCCGCCACTGGTGACTGGCCGGGCCGATCGGACTGATGCCAGTAACGGTCAGGTTAGCGGCACTGTAACCGAAGAGGTGAGTCAGCAGCTGGCAGCGTGATGGCGGCACCGACAGGGCTGAAGCGAGCGATGGCGCTGGCGCTGGCGATGCTTCTGAGCGAGGTACACATGTCGTCTGGGTTCTACCTGCCTGGTGTTGCTCCTCGTGCCTTTAAGAACGGAGAGCCGGTGAACATCAAGGTTCAGACTCTTGTTTCAACAGAAACCCCCCTCCAGTTCGACTATTACCAACTCCCTTTCTGTGCGCCGAAGAGGGTCAGAGACATTCCTGAAAACCTGGGAGAAGCATTGACGGGAGAAAGAGCTCATACGAGTGCGTTTCAGGCAAAGATGAAGGTCACTGAGTACTGCAAAACCTTGTGCAGAAAGAGGTACACACCCCAGGAAATGGAGGAGTTTCAGGATTTTGCAATCTTGGACTACAGAGTGAACATGCGTTTGGATTCCCTCCCACTGGCCGAAATGCAGACATTTGCCTATGAGGACAAACCAGATGATCCCGTTGAAACTTACAACCTCGGCTATCCCTTAGGTGGAAAGCTTGAGACCAGTGAAGCAGAGAAGGATAACCCCACGTCCAACGCGGATCAGTTTGTGCTCAACAATCACCTCAGATTCAAGATCCTGTATCACCCAGTCGACTCGTCTGATGAGGCTCATTCAAGCCACTCCGAAGACAACGGCAACTTCATCATCGGGTTTCAAGTTGTTCCTTTCTCGATCCAGCATCACTACACGGGCAAGTGGGACGAGACTGAGGTGCCCTACGTCAAGCTCGCCACCTGTGTCCAGCCTCCTAACGGTCAATTCCAACCGCACGTCCCGCAAGTGATCAATGCGGAGGAAGGCGGCGAGGTCATCTGGACGTATGACGTCATCTGGGAACGTACCAACATCAAATGGGCGTCACGCTGGGACGTCTACTTGCAGATGACGGACGACAAGATCCATTGGTTCTCCATCGTCAACTCCCTCGTCATCCTCATGTTCTTGACTGGCATCGTGGGTCTCATCATGACCCGCATTCTCCGAAAGGATTTTGCCCGATACAATGAAAGTGCTCTGAGCGCCGAGGACAAGTATGAGGCGAACCGTGAGATGAGGGAAGAAACGGGCTGGAAGCTTGTTTACAATGATGTGTTTCGTCCTCCTTCACATGCAACGTTGCTTTCAGTGTGTGCAGGAACGGGTGTGCAGCTTTTGATCATGTCTATCCTGACGCTGCTCTTCGCTGCCTTGGGTTTCCTTTCTCCGGCAAATCGTGGTTCCCTCCTTTCTGCAGTCTTGTTCTTCTACGTCTTGATGGGAGTTCCGGCTGGCTATGTCTCTGCAAGGTTTTGCAAATTCGTGAAGGAGCCAAATCACTTCAAAGCAACCTTGATGACAGCTTTGCTTTTCCCAGGAGTTTGCTTCTTGGTTTTCTTCCTTGTAAATTTGGTTGCCTGGTTCAAGCAATCATCGACAGCGGTTCCGTTCGGAACCTTGATCGTGCTTATGTTGTTGTGGTTTGGCATTTCGCTTCCTCTCATCTTCTTCGGGGCCTACCTCGGATTCAGGAAAGATGCTTTCTCCGTGCCTTGCTCAGTTAGCGCCATTCCGAGACAGATTCCGCCTCAGATGTGGTACATGTCGCCGTGGGTTTCAGCGATGGCTGGGGGTCTCTTGCCGTTTGGAGCTGTCTTCGTCGAGATGTTCTTCATCTTGTCCTCCATCTGGCAGCACAGGTTCTACTACGTTTTCGGTTTCCTGGCTGTAGTCTTCTTGATCCTCATCGTCACCTGTGTTGAGATCGCGATTGTCTTGTGCTATCTCCAGCTCTGTGCGGAGGACTATCGGTATGACGAGGCTCCTGCAGGTCATCTGGAGTGATTGTTTTGTGTGCTGCAGGTGGTGGTGGCGCTCGTTCTGCACAGCAGGAACGACTGCGGTGTACTTGTTTCTCTACGGAAGCTTTCATTACTTCTCAAGATCTCATCCGGCGACTGTCTTCGATCTCATGGCTACCTGCATCTTCTTCGGGTAATCCATGGTTTGTTGTTGTGTTTCGTCTGACTCGGCACTTCAGTTACTTGTTCATCTTGTGCTACGCCATGTTTGTACTCTGTGGATTCGTAGGATTCGCCAGCTGTTTTGCGTTTGTTCGCAAGATTTATTCTTCAATCAAGATAGATTAGATATTATGTACAGAGAGTTGAGAGAGTCTTGAGCTGGGGATAGACTAAACTAACAATGCAGTCGACAGAGAAACATTCGTTGATTACTTGTCGTATTTAATGAAAGCCTTTAAACTTCGACACATAAAACATACTTATGACTTTTCCATAATAACATGATATACACTCAACTGTAAAACCTGAAAACAATGTCATTCTTGAAGTGTTACTTGAAAAGTCAACAAGGCATAGAAAGAAAAATTCCTCAAGGAAACAACATTGTGACTTCACGAAAAGATCAGACTCTTCCTATCATTGTATTTCCAAACATCATAGGAATCTTCGTTCAGAACATGGAATCTCATCTCGCTTTCAGCATGTACCTGTTGTTATGAAGGTGAATCTGTTCTTGGATGCACAGCAAGGGCTCCATTCCAGGAATTCGCACTTCAACTTCAACGAGGTAGCGCAGCAATCAGACAAGATTCCTTCATGTCCTCTGTGATCGGTCGGAGCTCGAGCATGGCCGGAGCTCGAGCACACTTACGCTTCAGTCGTCCTCGTCCTCGTCCTCGTCCTCTTCAACTCAGAGCATGTGCGCAGTTCTACTACATTGCACGTGCAACTGAGGGGGGGTACGATTGCAACATAAAAAGGGAGAAGGATAGGTGGGGTCCCTCGGAAACTTTGAGGGGTGGGGGTGGGGGGTGAGGGGGTAGGCCGGTACTTTTGCCCGATGGAAGGAGGAGGAGGAGGAGGAGGAGGAGGAGGAGGAGGAGGAGGAGGAGGAGGAGGATTCAAGATGGAAGCCTTCGTCAAGTGCGGGCTGGGGACCAGGAGCATAGGAGAAGGAAGCTATCGTCATGGATGGGAGAGGATGACGTTGTGCAAGGTTGGGATAATCGGTCTGTGCTCGTTCCTTGGAGGCTGCCACGGGAGACTCGCTCCCTCAAGGTTCTTGTCTCGAGTTGACTGCGTAGGAAGAGGATTGTTGAGCCGGACTACATGCTGTTTCGCGGAGACTCCCTGGTTTGGAGAGATCCGACGGCAAAGTCCGAATTCGTTCTCGACTGCCGCTGCTCTCCCTGGCCTCCGTAAGCATGGTCAAAACGCGTTCGACAGCATAGCTCCTCGATTGTTCCCTTCGAACTCTAACCAGGAGGAGAGCTTGTCCGATGCCTGCAAGGTTTCGTCGAGGGTCAATAGTCTTCTGTGGATGACGCAGTTCGCAGCGGCTGCAGCGGCGGCAGAGGGAAGAGGAGTCACCGTTGTCGCGAGCATGGTACAAGAAACGACAGGTGCTTCCCATCATATGGTCTGGCTTGTCTGAGTACCATGGCACAGCAAGTGATCACTCCGGCTCAGCGACGGATACTCAGAAGCCTCTGGGGCAAGTTTGGAGCAGACCTCCAGCACGGTTGTCATCAGACGATCGAATTCGATGAGCCGCTTAACTTGCTACAGGCAAGCAGCTTGACTTCAGCTGGCTCTTTGCAAACTCTAGTCAGCCCACGGCAAGTCACGCAGCTGACGGGAGGGATGCTTGCAGGAGTCTAACGCCTGACAGGTCTTGGAGTTGGGCTTCGGGAGAGGCGAAAGTCTCAGAGAGATGTCGCTGACGTTTCCGCAAGTGCGACCATCTGAAGAGACCTGAGCCATAGCGTTACATGTCGCAGACAAACTTCTTGGGCGTGGAGATTCATAAGACTAGCATTGCACACTGCCTGGCTGAACTCGATAAGGTGTGATGAATCCATGTTGATCCTTTCTTTGACTCAACTCCGAAGAAAAACCTTGAAAACGTGAAGGTTGTGCGCGGAGATGCATCCCGACTGCTCAGCGAGCATGTGCCGCAAGCCTCGCTAGATCAGGTTGAGCTTGAGGTCTCGTCCCCGACTTGAGTCGGCTGAAGCTCTCTTTACGTTCAGATCTGGGTGTTCTTTCCAGATCCTTGGCCATCGAAAAAGGATATCTCCCGAAGGATCATCCGAAGCAATGTGGGGTCTCTATTCTTCATTTGATCTACTCACGCTGGGCATCTAGATTTTATATCACATGCACAAATGCTTGAAGCCTGGAGGGATTTTATGGATTGCGACCGACGTTAAGGTCTTTGATATTTCTTGTAACGGCAAGATCTGAAGGTCCGAAGGAATACGCCGATTACGTTGAAAACGTTATGAGGAGAGTGCAGAGTGATGACTTGTTCGCCTCGGAATGGCTTCCATTCTACAAGTTCACGCACGAGGTAAGCAGGCGTGTTTCAAGGACAAGTAATCAACATCTAATCTTGACCTCATCATCCTCAAGTCTCCTTCTCATCTTCTTTTCAGCCAGGTTCACGTGACGTGAGCTTCGATAGAAGTGGCTCTGAAATAAGCAAACGAGACGAGGCGTTACTCCAACAGTGTCTGCTTACATTTCAGAATAGGCCGCTTACAACCTATGAGATGAAAGCTTCTTCGACAATCGAAGAGTCATCAAGCGCCGCAAAGATTTCTGAGATGTGGTACCAAAAACCTACTGCCGGAAGGCTGACGAAGCTCGTCCACATCAGCAAGCGAGCTTGCGACCAGTTGGGCACTCTCGTGCGATCCATCTACAGCTCCATCGACGAGCAAACAGCTACCGTGAAACAAGATAAGAGCGCCTTCACCATCGCAGACGGTCTCGTGCAGGAGCTGCTGAGCGAGCTGTTCGAGGGCAAGGTGAAGACGATCGTGGGGGAGGAAGACAGTGCGCAGGTGAGGCTGGACAGGAGGCCGATGACGGTAGGATCGCTGTGCGTACCGGAGCAGCACGAGAGGATCATCGAGAGGAGCCGGAGAGGGATGCAGGAGCTGGGGCGAGAGCTGGAGGACGGGGGGTACCAGGACCTGACGGTGTTCATCGACCCGATCGACGGGACGCGAGAGTTCTCGACGAAGAAGGGAGAGCAGTGCAGCATCTGCATCGGCTTCTCGGACGGAGGGGGGCAGGCGGTGGCGGGGCTGGTGTACCGCCCGATCCCAGATGGGTGGGAGACGAGCTGGGAGGAGGAGCGGGCGGTAGAGGCATGCACCTGGGGAGGAGGGGCGAGGTCGGAGGGGACGGCGGTAGGGCGGCTGGATAGGAAGGAGGGAGGGGGAAGAGGCTTCCTGACAACCAACGGGAAGATCTCAGGGTTTGTGGAGAAGCTGATGGGAGAGCTGAAGGAGGAGCGAGTGAGCTCGGGGGGAGCTGGGAACAAGATGCTGATGCTGCTGGAGGGGAAGGGCGGGATGTACATTCAAGACAGGGGAGTGAGCCGGTGGGATACATGCGCGGCACAGGCAGTGATCGAGGCGTACGGGGGGCTTCTATGCCGACTGGATCGGTATCTGGAGGAGGAGAAGCTTGTGCCGTACACGTACGTGAAGGGAGAGAAGAACGCGGACTTTGTGAAGGGGCTTGCGGAGCTGACGGCATACAACGCGCGGGAGTGGGGGGAAGGAGGGGAGAGGAGGAAGGCGATGGAGGCGAGGGAGGTGAAGGCGTACTCGAACCTGAACGGGCTTCTGGCGGTAAGCAAGGAAGGGAGGGAGAGGCTGGGGGAAGTGCGGGAGGCGATGAGGAGGGTAGAGGAGGAGGAGGGACCTTCATACGACTGAAGGGGGAGAGAGGGCAGCTTATTGAAAAAAAAAAGGATGTCCCGGTGGACTAGGGCATGGAAGGAAATCTTGTCTGATGGCAAAGATAGGATTAGAAGGCAGTTGCAGTTGAGAGCAGATTCGCAGAGACCATGTTTTGCACGAATTCTATTTACATGTTCAAGTCGTTTCAATAATTTACATCTAGATCTTGAGCACAGTCGCTGCCCTCCCGCCCGCCGAAACCTGTCACATCTTGTTAGATGAAACAACTTGTCTCTCCTTGCTCACACCCTCCGCCTACCTTGATGAAACTCCGTCACGCGTGAGGCAGTTCTCGAGGGTCCATCACTTGAGTTTCTCAAATCAAGGGAGATGCGCCATATCAGATCGTAGCAGCTGCTGTCGGCCTCCAGGTGCCTCGGTTCTTGAAAGTAGAGCGAGTTGCAAGTCTTCGGCCACTGAGAGAAGTAAGGATCTTCCGGCACGCCCAGCGCCTGGACAAGGAGAGGAATCGTAAAGTGCTCCCAGGCGACCAAGATCGTATCCCCACAGTGAGCTGAGAGCACCAGCTCCAGGAAGCCGTTCAAGTCGTCCTTGCTCACGTTGCTGTACAGAGGTACTCCAAGGCTCTCCGAGAGAGGGACGAGGGTGTCATGGGACCTGAACGAGCTACCGTTGCTCATGTTTGCTTTGGCAGCAAGCAGCATCGTCGGAGGGCCGCGAGCTAGTGCCCTCGTTCTCCCTGATGCGCATCGAGCTAGGTATGCAGCTCGAGCCCTTCCAAGAGGGCTGAGTCTTGAGTTTGACGCGTTCAAAGGCTTCTCGCCGTGCCGGATGATCAAGACGGATATCACGCATTCTTCCTTGCAAGGAAACGATTGATACAGACATATGGCAACCAAGAAGCAGACAGCGAGCACGAGCCCACCCATCAACGCTCTCGTTATGGATCTTGTCTCCTTGTGCTGCAAGAAGAAACATCAGTGGGGTCAAAACGCATCCACGACCTTGCCTTACAGCTCCAACAACGCGTGCTCACTCGGCAATGCAGCAAATTCTCCATCTCGCGTTCTACCCCATCAGCCAGTGCAGGAAGCAGCGAATAGCGCAAGACGGAGCAGCTCGACCACTCTAAGTCATGATACCTCGACCGCTCCTCGAAACTCGTCGAGCCAGAGTCAAGTGACCAGGTCTCCTCCACCATTCCTGAATCGAAGCTGTCACCTTGCGCTGAACTGCCTCGTCTTGGGAGAGGCGTGTCCCTGCGTCGAGTGCCACGGTCCCGTGAGAGGAGAGCAGACAGTGAGAGCCCCATGTGACTAGGCAAGAGCTCGCGATCCACTCATGTATGGTCAAGAAAACCCTCTCGATCACTGCCCAGCAGCATACTGCACGAGCATCTTGACGAGGCGGAGGAAGGAGGGGGGCTATGGAGGGGAGGGCGGGTAAGGAGAGTAGGGGGCTGTTAGAGGCTAGTATCTGTCCTGTCAGGTTCGAGGGAGCAAGATGGTGCGAGCATGCGGCTGTCGCCTACTGCGGTCCACCGTTCTTGCGACTTCGCCATGGAGGAAGTCTGGAGTCGGGGGAAAAAGCGACCAGGAGACAGGGGTAGGGTAGCCAGTGGAGGGGTACCGGATCGTGGCTTTGAACAGCGAAGGTGGGTAAAGTTCTCTGAAAAGGTGGGGTGGTCGTAGGGAGATGGAGGGGTGAAGTGTTGCATGGCGGCAGATGGTCAAGTTGGGGCGTAAGCGACAAGATTTGGTGATGAGTAATCCAAATTATTCTTCAATATTCGAAATAATCAGAACAGCAATCGAGAAGAAATACTTGAATTTGAAGTTACAAAGATACTGTTCAGGGACAACCCCATATGTACTACGGACCCCCTACCACCCTAAACCTTCAAGCTGAGGGTCTCAGAGTTCAGTTCCCTCAGTCGTATGAAGGTCCCTCCTCCTCCTCTACCCTCCTCATCGCCTCCCGCACTTCCCCCAGCCTCTCCCTCCCTTCCTTGCTTACCGCCAGAAGCCCGTTCAGGTTCGAGTACGCCTTCACCTCCCTCGCCTCCATCGCCTTCCTCCTCTCCCCTCCTTCCCCCCACTCCCGCGCGTTGTATGCCGTCAGCTCCGCAAGCCCCTTCACAAAGTCCGCGTTCTTCTCTCCCTTCACGTACGTGTACGGCACAAGCTTCTCCTCCTCCAGATACCGATCCAGTCGGCATAGAAGCCCCCCGTACGCCTCGATCACTGCCTGTGCCGCGCATGTATCCCACCGGCTCACTCCCCTGTCTTGAATGTACATCCCGCCCTTCCCCTCCAGCAGCATCAGCATCTTGTTCCCAGCTCCCCCCGAGCTCACTCGCTCCTCCTTCAGCTCTCCCATCAGCTTCTCCACAAACCCTGAGATCTTCCCGTTGGTTGTCAGGAAGCCTCTTCCCCCTCCCTCCTTCCTATCCAGCCGCCCTACCGCCGTCCCCTCCGACCTCGCCCCTCCTCCCCAGGTGCATGCCTCTACCGCCCGCTCCTCCTCCCAGCTCGTCTCCCACCCCTCTGGGATCGGGCGGTACACCAGCCCCGCCACCGCCTGCCCCCCTCCGTCCGAGAAGCCGATGCAGATGCTGCACTGCTCTCCCTTCTTGGTCGAGAACTCTCGCGTCCCGTCGATCGGGTCGATGAACACCGTCAGGTCCTGGTACCCCCCGTCCTCCAGCTCTCGCCCCAGCTCCTGCATCCCTCTCCGGCTCCTCTCGATGATCCTCTCGTGCTGCTCCGGTACGCACAGCGATCCTACCGTCATCGGCCTCCTGTCCAGCCTCACCTGCGCATCGTCTTCCTCCCCCACGATCGTCTTCACCTTGCCCTCGAACAGCTCGCTCAGCAGCTCCTGCACGAGACCGTCTGCGATGGTGAAGGCGCTCTTATCTTGTTTCACGGTGGCTGTTTGCTCGTCGATGGAGCTGTAGATGGATCGCACGAGAATGCCCAACTGGTCGCAAGCTCGCTTGCTGATGTGGACGAGCTTCGTCAGCCTTCCTTGCACGTTATCCATTGTGAATCTGTGAATATAGTTTAGAAAACATTTGAATCGAATAGCTACTTTGAAGACGGATTGCTAGCACATCGTAGTCAAAGGGAAGTCAGGTAGACCTCGTTTTCACTGAATGAATGATTTTCTTCGTTACGGTGCCATGTTGTCGGATATGTTGGTTTGTTCCCTTCCCTTCCCTTCTCACTATTCCCCTACAATCGTCCTTCATTCCATCCTCCCCCCCCCCCCTCGCGATTCCCACAATCGAGCGATGACGCAGCCATGCCCTTGTTTTACTCAATATGCAAGCTTGCCTCAGGGAGATGCTCGAGGAAGTATTCACAAGCTTTTATTAGTCACTGAGTCCCTTCAACTGTCATGCGCACTCGCCCGAACCGGCCGGGGAAGTCTTGCCGGGGGGGCACTGACTACAGAAGGATTGACCGGAGCCAGAGAAGGTGCCGGAGGGGCAGGAAGAGCAGGCCAGACTGAGAGGAGCAGCTGAGAAAGTCCCAGCAGGGCACGCGCGGCAGATGGCGGGCCCGTAGGACCTCCAGGAAGCTCGCAGTCCCGCTGGAATGAGGAGGGATCCGGAGTCGTGGAAGGTAGCGAGGAGGAGAGAGACTCTGCGGTACTCACCCACGCGAGGATGAAGATACTCCCAAGTCATCGGAAGGTCCCACATGGTCCCCACCTGACTTTGCAAGAGGCTGAGGTACCTGCCACGCCCGTCCCACTCTTCGAGGTAGAGCGCCGCGCTAGCATGGTCGGCTCGGAACCGAGTAATGTTGATGCCAAGGTTGAAGCGCGTCAAGAAGTCCCACTTGCACGTCCAGCCGTTGAGGAAGAGAAACTCGTTGCTGCTGATGGCTCCTCCGCTCGAGGTTATGTTCCATGGGCCTCCTCCACCCCCACAGGAGCCAAGATCGTGATCCTCCACGAGCGTCAGCGACGTCTGCTCACGCGACATGTACTCTCCTGCTACGCAGGGGATGAGAGAGGCAAAGCTCGACTGGCACAGCTGGGGAGAGTTGAGGATGACGTCGATGCTGCAGTCTTTGCAGATGGAGCTCTCTGACGCCGGCTGATACTTGCCTCGTGGGCAGCTCGAGCAGCTTGTGCTGCCTGGTGCAGCGCTGACGGTCAAAGCTGGGCAGTGAAGGCAGGCGGTGCTGCCGCTGGAGTTGGAGAAGGATCCCTCGGGGCACAAGGAGCATGAGGATTGTCTGGAGGAGACAGTGAAGGACCCGGGCTGGCATGCCAGGCAGCTGCTCTGACTTATGTTGGCCGCAAAAGTTCCCGGTGCGCAATCCAAGCAAGCAGAAGAATTGAGCAAGTTGCCGTAACTTCCTCTCGCACATGCCTGGCAGTGACTTTGGCCTTGTGCTGTTCCGTACGTTCCCAACGGACAAGCCGAACATACCGAAACTCCACTCGTGTTGCTGTAAAATCCTCTGGAGCACACAGCACATGCCGTCGCTCCGATGATTCCATTGAAATACCCGGGCGCGCAAGAGCTGCAAGCAGAAGATTTGCTCTGGTTGTTGTAAGTCCCAACCTCACATGTCGAGCAAGATGTTTGCGAAGTGTTCGAGTTGTAGCTTCCCAACTGACACAGAGAGCAGAAAGATTGACCTATAGCAACAGAAAAAGTTCCAGTCGCGCAATCAGAGCAAAAGCTCTGAGCTGTTCTGTCGGAATACTTTCCAGAACCGCAGACTGAACAGACAGACGAGGCAGAGATCATACTGAACTGCCCTAGAGGACAGTTGCTGCACGCTGAGCTCTGGTTTGTGTTGCCGTAGGTCCCAGGATTGCAAGACAAGCAAAGGCGCTGAGCATTCGAATACTTACCAACGGGACAAGCGTAGCATGATTGACCCGAAATGTTGGACGACATCCCGACAGGACACAAGACACACGCCGTCTGTGCTGCCATCTCGTTGTACGTTCCCAAGGGGCAGCTGCTGCAAGTACTTGCTCCAGCCAGAGAGTACGTTCCTGGTTGACACTTGGTGCAGTTTGAGCTTCCCTGTAAGGAGAACGTTCCGCCAGTACATGTCTGACAGAAGGAAGCAATGGTGCGATCATTGAATTGACCTTGGGGGCAATCTTGACAAGCTGAAAGACCACCTACAGAAAATTTCCCAACGACGCAAGGATCTGGATATCCTATGTCCGGCCGCGGACAGGCGTAACCCTTCCAGCATTGATCGCAGAAAGTCTGTCCAATCTGAGGTTGGAAGGTGCCAGGAGAGCACGTGAGACAGAAGCTCGCAGCAGGTTGGGTCCCATACGTTCCTGCTGGGCAGGAAGTGCATGATAGCGAATCATTCGTGGCGCTGTAGGTGCCAGCAGCGCACATGATGCAACGAGTGCTTTCGAAGTTTGTCAGGTTGAAGTAGCCGAGCGGACAAGTTGAGACTGCCCCATCATGGAAGAGAGCGAGGAAGCAAACAAGCACCCACGGGGCGTAGAGGCTGAGAGGAAGCCCTTTGCGTGAGAGACAAACGGAAGCCATGAAGGGAGGTGATTTCACTCGCTGCCGCACATGCAAGGTCTTGCAGAGACAACTGTGACAACCCACAGTCTAATCGCAGACATGTCAAGCAGAAACAAAACGACGAATCCTGGAGGAAAGAAGAGAAATAAGTTGTGGAGTATCACACGATCAAAAGATCACTGGCAGGGTCGTTTCCTTTCTCATACATCACTCTCACTCCCACGACTTCAACCGTCTCTCGTTTCCTCTGCATGCTTCTTCCCTTCCCTGCTCCCTAAGCATTATCACATCCTCTCCTGACCACTATGGCTATCCCCACCTACCTTGTTCGCTCCCTTCGCTCCCTACTTGCTCCCCCTCCTCTTGCTTGTCCTTTCATCGTGATCGCTTGTCATTTTGACTCAGGGTGGGGGTACTCCATTTTCTCTCTTCCACCGGTACTTGGGATACTCATTGCAAGTGATGGGGTGGGGTGATGGGACTTTCAAGCGGCTCATGGGTCCTCCACTAGGCGAAGAAATGCGGGCCGAGGAAGACAAGAGAAGGAGGAGAGAAGGAGGAGAGAAGGAGAGGAGAAAGGAATGGACTAGAAAGGAGGGAGAAAGGGAGAATTGAGCTCCCCTCTACAGCAGGCTCTCCCGATTTGACATTTCGGGCAGATCTACTGATAGCTAGAGATCCTCTGTACATTTGCGAGCGGGTCTATACAGGCGCTGTCAGAGCGGCAGGCAGTTCTTGGATGCACTTCTCAAGCTCTTCCTCGAACTCGGAGTCCCACGTCTGATGCAGGAGGTCAGTGGCTCAGTCAGGGAAGGTCACGCGCTATGCGTCATGCGACCTTCAAGGAGGTTCTGATCTCAGCCACTTGTGCGCGTAGAGAGGAGATCTTGGACAAGACAGACTGAGGGCGGAGGGTCAGGGTGTGGTTGGGCCTGGTACATCCATAGCGACCTCAGGCGAGTAGTTCTCGTCGTCCTGCCCCTCACGGTCCTCTCGAGGTTTGTGAGCCTAATCATGTCAAGCGAACAGATGTCAAGGACTGTCTCACCGCCGCTTCCTTCGTGCTCGGGTGTAACAATCTCCAGTGCTCCTCCGCCACCTGGATGTACCTGAAACTCATCATGCACAACAGGACACATGCTTTCAAGACCAGGGAAGGAATTCTTCGAATTGAATCTTGTTGTCCTGGTTCCCGGACAGTCCATCTACCCTCGACATGAGCGACTCCGAACATTGCTGTCTCATCCATGAGCAAGATCACGTGAGCGTATTAGGACAACCTTGATTTGGGATTCATCTACTTTGCCGAGTTGAAAGCTGGCGATCAGATCTTTGGCAAGCGCTATGCATTCTCCTTCATCAAGCTCCCCGTCTCCATTCTCATCACGTCACGTTGTCAGGTCAGCAGCAACATGCAGGCTCGGAGTACCACGTCGTAATGGTCGAACTTACTTCTGACCTGCCGTCTCTCTCAGGATACATGGGAATGTCAGAAGCAGACTGTACCTTGTCAACATCCGGCATCCAAGGAGCCTGAGCAAGATTTCAGGGACAGATAGAGGGAGGGGCAGGAGAGAGATAGAGGGAGGGGCAGGAGAGAGATAGAGGGAGGGGCAGGAGAGAGATAGAGGGAGGGGCAGGAGAGAGATAGAGGGAGGGGCAGGAGAGAGATAGAGGGAGGGGCAGGAGAGAGATAGAGGGAGGGGCAGGAGAGAGATAGAGGGAGGGGCAGGAGAGAGATAGAGGGAGGTAGAGGAGTCGCTCAAGTACCACAGAACTCTCCTTGGACATTTCACCAGCACCTGGCAAAGAAGATGATAAGCAACCAAGATGATCTCATCTTAGTCGATGAGCTCAGATCTCATCTTAGTCGATGAGCTCAGATCTCATCTTAGTCGATGAGCTCAGAACATGTCACATGTCTGGCGTCTCAAAAGAGCCTCAATCCCGCATAAGTTCAAGACAGACTTTTGAGAGTTGTCATTACAAGCTCTGCAGGTCTTATCTCCTTTCCTTCCCTCCTGCTGCTGCTGCTGCTGCTGCTGCTGCTGCTGCTGCTGCTGCTGCTCTTTGCTCTCCCCCTCCCCCTCCCCCTCCTGCTAGGCTCTAGTGGCGAGCACACTCTGCTCCATCTGTTCCTGGTTCCTACTGGCCATTACGCGTCTCTCCGGCCCTACAGCTTTTACTCATGAGTGGCGGACGGTCTGCCTCAGAGGGACAGAAGAAGCGCACTGGAAGGCAGCGGATACGTATTTAGTGAACCCTTCCATCACAACATCAGACATGCCGAGCTACATGTTGCAACACTCTTGAAGAGTGCTGTTTCCTACATACAAGTATCTCTTTAATGTACAGGAAGAATAGCTCATGACCGTCTACGACACCTTCAGACAGACATGGCTAGGCTTGTCATGCACGCACTGAAGCGCTAGAAAGCGTCCGACTCCACAGGGTCAGTATGTCATCGGTACCAGCCTCCTTCCTCTCACGGACACGCTCCTGCCACAAGTTTGAGGAGTTGGAAACAAGGAGCGAGCAGTACCATGAGCTGCAGGAGGTTGTTCTCAAAGGCGTTCAGTTTGCTATCCAGTTGAGCAAGCCTGGGCTCGAGCTGGAAACAAGCCCAGTGAGGGTAGAGAGGAAGGCATTAGATGAAGTACCCGGTCCTTCTCCTCCAGGATCTCCTCAGGCATCGAGAACGTCCTCTCCCTGCCATCTCAGTCAGCAACTCGAAGCATGTCCGAGTGAGGAATCACTTGGGCAGCCAGTCATAGCGAGGTTTCCCGACTTGTGGCCAGACCTGCCGCGACGAGTCAGCAGGAGGCGAGAGGGAGTGGCTGGACCTTGCTTCTGACGTATCTCTCCTGCGAGGTCAGGAGGGTGACGGGGGTGTGCTTGACTCGCATCAGGAAGAAGAGGTACCACCTCGCGTTGTGCTCGAACTTCACGTGCTTCACAAACCCAACGCCATACTGCCAAACTTGTTGGACTGCACAGGGACGGAGAGAAGGACAAGGCACCTGATCGATGCGGAAGCGATCGAGGTTGCAGACGAAGCAGACGCTGTTGAGGTCTTCCTCCTCCTTCTGCTTCTTGTCCCTGAGACTGCCGAAGGCGTCGATGACGATGCCTGTGATGATAGCGAGGAGCACGTAGATGAAGAGCCACTGCAGTGGTCTGGTCAGTCATTCCCGCGCCTCTTTCGCGTTACCTGGTAGGTCAAGTCCCAGAGCAGTCGGAGGAGGAAGACGTCAGGCTTTGAGAGCGAGTCGACGAGGTTGTGAGGTATGGACGGCGCGGCTGTCATATCCTTGATGCCGTCGCCGCGCATGGCGATGAAGAGATACGCAACGAGGCACTGGAACATGTTGGAGCAGATGGGGTTGTCCTTGTCATCGCGATGTAAGTCATCGAAGACCAGGATGCCGAAGATCATCCAGGCGTAGAGGAAGACAAGCCCGATGAAGAAGGTGTTCAGCATCGCCATGGACTTGAACCGCATCGCGTCGATGACATTGCGAGAGGATTCCAACAGGAAGACCTGCAGGCCGTCATGTCATTGTGAGCATCACAAGAGTAGCGATCACCTCAAGCAGACTGAAGGTGGTGAACAACGTGTTGTCCATCACAACAGCAACAAGAGAAAAGAGAAAGAAAGCAACCTCATACAAGAACTTCTCAGACTGTACGAGGATCAGCATCCCTTGCAACAGCTTCCTTGCCCTGAATCTTCTCTTCAAGATTCTTTCTCCATCCTCTTGCTCTTCGGCCGCCATTAGCTTCTCCATCGGAGCACGAGCCGGAGCTTTCTGCTGTGCGTTGAACACATCTACAAACACATCTTCCTGATCCTGCCATAGATCAGCCCCGCTGTTCTGTTTCTGGTAACCTGACGGGATGTGTGTAGAATGGCGAAGATGTGAGGATCGGAATCTCTGCTCTCGGATGATCTCGGGTGCTGTGACTGTGCAGAAGGAGAAGAGTCTCAAAGAGCAGAGCACTAGGTTGACGATGCACATGTAGTCCACCACCACCTGCACCCGCCCCGAGGCCTCAAAGAAACGTCTGTCGTACTCCGTTGAGTTGAGCTTCATTTCAACGTAACGATCATGTGCAGATTCGCCGGCAAGGACATCGTTGGGGGCGTAGCTGGAGCAGACGAGGAGCAAGTGAAGGAGCAGGACCCACACGAGGGTCGCGCGTTTGATCAAGTCCCAGTGAGTGACAGTGAAGAAGAGAAGAGAGTCTCGAATCCTCTGATGAAAATCCTCGCGCGCGATGATCTTCTTCATGTTCTCTATGTAGCTCTTGCTCTTCTTCTCCGGATTCCCCCTCTCGATGCTCTCAAAGAGCTCCATGTAGCTCAAGTCCAGCTCCCCCCCAGCCACACACTCCTCGGGCAGCTGGAAGAAGATCCTCTCCAACCTCCCCTCCCTCTCGATCTCGATGTTCGCCATCCTCTCCCTAAAGAATGCTCCTGCCTTCTCCGTCTGCTTGATCGCCATCCTGATCACTCCGGTGCGATCAAACGCCACCAGGAACGACATGACGAGAAAGTAGCTGATTCCCTCCTTCACAAGCTCCGCCTCCGAGAGTCCGGTCTTCTCTTGCAGCATGTCGTAGCAGTGAGTGGTTTGCTGCACGATTCCGCTCCACTGCAGGGTAGTGATCATCCGGGCAGGGATGACGTCATCCTGGACGCCCTCCAGGAAGGCGTTGAGACAAGTCGACATGGCGACCTTGAGCCGCGTCCTCATCAGGTTCCTGACCCTCACCGCCTGCGGGCTCCTGTCGGGCGACTGAGAACTGCTCGAGCAAGTCTCGAAGAAGACGCGGGAGAAGATGCGATCCACGAGGTCGAAGAAGTCAGCGGTCGACAGCTCCCACTGGTTGTCGAGGTTGGGGCCGTACATGGCGTCAGCGATCATCATGAACGCGCGGATTATCCCCTCCACCTCGTAGACGTTGGCAGACGCAATGAGAGAGTTGATGTCCTGAGAGAGGGTTCAGACATGAGGAGAGGAGGAGAGGGGGGGGAGGGGTTATGTCTTTCGGAAGAGGATGGGAGAGGGAGAGGTCAGAAGTTAGGGTGGAGAAGTGGAAGAAGTCGGGTTCACCAGCTCGCTGGCGATGAGATATTTGACAGTCTCCTCGAAGAAGTTGATGGAGACTCGATTCAACTTCTGCTCTCTCAGAATGTCCTGCAGCATTTTGTTCCCTCCCATGCACAGCCTGCGCATTAACTTCATGACCTGAGGGTTGTCATGTCAGCAGAAGAGATGAAGACATCGCCATCACCTCCGTCATCACGACATATCCGTTGTCATCCTCTTCTCTTCTCTCAACGGTGGCTGACTCGATTAATTTCTTCCTCGCCTTGTCTTTCTTCGACCTCTTCTTCCTTTCTTTGATCTGCATGGTCGCATGCTCGAAGGTGTCGAGGAGCTTCAAGAAGAATGTCTGGCTGGAAGGAGACGCGAGGTACCGCGAGAAGAGTTGCTGCACCATCGCGTTCCCCCCGGCAAGGAGCGAGTTAGCAAGCAGGAGAGACTCTCGTACTATGCGTGCATCATCTTGACAGAAGCATGCCAGGAAAGCGTCCACCGCCCCTGCTTGCGCCACCAGCAGCTGCAGGTTCAAGAACTCAGGAACGTTGTTCTGAGCATCGGAGGGGTCGTCGAAAGTCTTCATCCTCGCGTACTCCTCCTCCTGCTCCCTCCTGCTCTTCTTCGCGGGGTTCAGGTACACGATCGCTCGGAGCACCTGCAGCCCGACGTGCTGCAGGTCTGACTCGCAGTCTTCGTCCGTTATGAGCCGGCAAAACTCTCTCAGCGCGCTCAAGTCGTCGTCCTGTCCCCGCAGGGAAGTCAGCAGGCAAGACATCTCGCGGATGAGGGAGGAGGAGAAGCCGCTGCTGTCGTCACCGATGACGCTCCTCACTCCCTCCTTGAAGCTCCGCAGCCCATGCAGGAAACGCTCCTCGACGGTGCGATGAGGCTCTGAGCTTGCCTCCCCCGTCTCCGCCTTCACCAGCAGGTCCCCGAGCACTCCCAGGTGGTTGAGCTCGACCAAGAGCGCGTTGATGCTCTCCGTCGACTCCTGCAGCTGAGGACCGAAGGTCTGGTAGAGCGAGACCAGCTTGATGCGCAGGGAGAGCAGCTGCGGATGGATGTGGGGGTGGAGCTGCTCGCTACGAGCCTCCCCTGTCTCCACGTCGCTGCTGGTTATCATCCATCGCAGAGCCTCTGCCAAGCTCTCGACGAGCTTGCAGCTAGCATCCTGTTTGTCCTGCTCCTCCTCGCCTGCTGCTCCCAGGCGTTTCTCGACGTCCTCCACCAGCCGCATAAAGGTCGCCAAGAGGCTGCGTCCCTCGGCGTCTGCCGTCATGATGCAGCCACAAGACTGGATCGCAAATTTGGCTCGTCCGTCCTCGCACGTGAGGTAGACGTTCGTCACAACCCTCGTCCTGCTCTCCTGCAGCCTGTAGAGCTGATTGTCGTAGCTGCGCCCCTCCGCTCTCAGCTGCTCGTCGAGCTCCACGATGCTGCGCACCACTCGCTCCAGCCCCACCAGCTCCATCAGCTTCACCTGCACTTTCAAGTTGCTTCCTGACGCGCAGAGTGCTAGGATGCGCAGGCACTGGATGTGAAACTCGAGCTCGCGCCTCCTCTCTGCCTTGTCAAGGCAGTCGGCCAACAAGTCGCAGGAGAGGAGGAGGAGGCTTTCATGCTCTTCCAGCAGGAGACGGGAGACGAGGTTCTGATTTCTCTTGATCAGCACCCCATCGCAAAGCAGGAACACCTCCAGCGCTCGCATCCAACTCTCCTCCTGCCCCCAGGTCTTGATGGCGGACGTGAGATGCCGCAACAGGCTCTCCGGGACTTCAGAGCACAAGGGCAGGTTGTTGGAGAAGACCTCTCGGATAGCGTCTGCCACGTTGATCCCTTTCTTCCCCAGCTGCTCTACCAGCAGGTCCACGTGCTCCACAACCTTGACCTGAGCCCTCGGATACTCCTTGACCATGAGCGAGATGAAGGTGCAGCAAGCCTGCAACAGCTCTCTCTGTCCACTGCTCGCCTCTTCCTTCTCCTCCTCCTCCTCCGGCTCCGACGACCTCGTCGAGCGACTCACCAGCCGCAGGATCTCGATGACGTGGCGGTCGAGGTCGAGGTTGTTGAGGATGGTCTGATTCTTGCGAACGATGGAGGCTGACCTGGCGCCTTGGGGGATGAGGGCAGCTGAGATGGTGCGGATGACAAGAGTCGCCTGCTGGAGGGCCTCCTCGTTGTCAGCCAGCAGACGATCTTTGAGCCTGACGAGATCGGAGACGAGCAGCTGGGCAGACTCGTACACGCGCGCAGCTTCCGGGTACACCAGCACCTGAATCTGCTCCATGTCTTGCAGGAATCGAACTTTCTGATCGATGTGTCGGATCAGAAGCTCCACGGCCTGTCTGCTCAGTTTGATGTCATTGAATACAAGCATGTCTGTCATCAACTTCACGAACAGGTCTGAGTTGTAGCTGCCTTCGACGTACACGTCACTGATGTTTCCTTCGTTTCCAAGTATTTGTTCATCAAACATTTCCTGCACCAGGCTCTTGATTCTTCCGTCCCTACCATCTTGATGCAACAGATATGAGCTGTCATCCTCTCCGCCTCCTCCCGCCCCTCCTCCACTCGCTCCCCCATGTTCTTCTGTGGATAGGAAGAAATCTTCCCAGCGATCAACGAAGAAGGAGATGCGGATGTTAGTCTTGAGAGACATGAGCCGATGCACAACTTCGAGGGCGCGAGACCGCAGGCTGCATCGCATCATCGTCTCCTTGCTTGCTGCTGGTGGCTCGTACGAGTCAGGGAGGTGGACGAGGCGGTGGAGCCCAGCCAGAAGCCTCTGCGCGTACGACACGTCACATGCGGCTGAGCGACGAGAGCAGACGATGCCGACGTCGAAGAGAAAGTCGACTGTGTCGATCCAGCTTCGCAGCAGCTCGATCTCCCCGTAGGTCGCCACGTCGAGGCTCCAGTCTCGCATGTCGCACACGATCCCTTCCCCCCTCCATGTCTCGATCATCCTGAGCAGATAGAGCGAGAGATCTCTTAACCTCCTCCCCGTCTCGACCTCTCCCTTGACCTCCTCCCCCCTTCTATCGCTCCCCCTCCGGCCCTCCTCCTCCTCCTCTCCCTCCCCTTCTTCCTCCCTGCTGTGGCTGTTCCTTTCCTGGATCATCCGAGACATCCTCGTGTACAACACCTCAGGTTCAGATGCTCGAGGCTCTCGGTCGATGTAGAGCCGGAGCAAGAGGAGCGAATACTGAGCGCGGATCAACGACGGAACGCTCTCCTCTTCCATCACCGACAGAACATCCTCGTAACCGAAACAGAACTCCGGCATGTTCAACATCCTGTTGATGGCTGGCACGTTGCGGCCAAGCGCTACCCGCCCTATCAAGTTTGTGCTGCGGATGAAGAATCTGACCATCTTCTGCTGGGGGCTCAAGTCCATGTAGGAAGCGAGTAGGATGTCGGAGCAAAGGTCCCTGCCGTGCAGGAAGGTTCCCCTGCTCTGCAGCTGAGAAACGTCGATCCAAGGGAGGGGGGAGCCCCTCGAGTCGGAGATGGAGAACTCCAGCTTTGTTCTTCCTCCCATCGTCTTAGTGATCCTCGTGCGGGGGAGGATGGTGCGGTTCTCGCCGAGGAGGTGAGCGACGTGGAGCTGATTGGAAGGGATGGGTGTGTCTTGGTGCGAGCAGATGGAGAGTAGGAGGTCAAGGTACTGAGAGTTCTTCTCCTCCTCTAGCAGGCGGAAGACCATCTCTAGTTCCTCCCTCGTGATGCTCATCAGCAGCTTCCGCTTGCCCACGTACATCTCCATGAGTGTGCCCGTGCACTGAAGACTTCGGCCGAGATGCGACTGGATGGTCTTCTTGTATCGCATCAGCACCAGCGAGTTCTTCTCGTCGCCCTTCACCACCTGTTTCATGAGCCTGTACATCAACCTCATCAGCTCCACCATCCTGCTGAACCTCGCGTCCTCCGCCTCCAGCCATCGGATGTGAACTCCTTTCTTGAAGGTCTCATCGAGGATGCTCATGACGGTTTCAATGCAGGACGTCTCCCGCAGAAGCTTCTGCAGCAGCCTATTCGGAACTCCGTCCCGAGACATGGGGTTGTCGTCGTCGTCGTAGGTAGCGTTGAGAAGCAGTCGAAGCAGGTGAGGCTGAGTGAGACCATGAGCGTCGTCATAGATCTTGATCACAAGCTCAGCCTGCCCCGGCAGTTCTTCTGGCAAGGTGCTGCGTCATCAAACATCGTCATAAAGACAACGATGTTGTTCATTTCCCTCACGTTTGCAGCTCGCCTTGGAAATCTGGCAATCGAGCAAGCCTATGGTACAAGAGAGTCTTGAGGACGGATATGGTCTTGGAAACCTAGGATGAAGTCAGAGCTCAGGACCTGATAACATGGAGGGTATTCTCAACCTTGAGAACATTCGACGTCATTGTTGCATTCACTCGCATCAAAGTCAGAACATCTCGCTCGGGGAGTTGGTCCAACGAACGAACTGCAATCCTCCTGCGGTATCTCTTGGCGATCTCGTCGTCGTTGGGTCTCATCGTTGAGTGCTCTGCGATGATCCAACCATGAGCTCTAGAGATGAGGTACACGGATGAACCGGCCTTCACGGGCTGTACAGTCTCTTCCTTGGAGAAGGGCTTGAACGTGAACAACGTGTTCTCGTCGTTCACGTCCGATGTCATACCCACAGTCTTGTCATCGCTCACACATAGGTACATGCCTGACGGAAGATGCTTCATCCGGAACTGTTGCGCCATGGCGTATAGCTTCTGCCCTCCTGATACGAGGGAGGTTCTTTCCAGCTTCCACATCCAGTAACTCTTCTTTCTAGCCTTCTCCGAAGTCCGCTGGCTCTCAGTGAACACCGGTTGACTGATCCCGTGACCATCATACTCGAGGTAAGACTCGAAGTCCTTGTGATACAGACATACTACGTCTTCTCCATATACAAACGCCTCCTGCTCCTCCGGCAGGTCCCATTGCCGGAAGATGATAAGCCGGAACATGGTCATCTTGACGTCAGTAGGAGAAGAGCAGAGCTCTTCTACTCCCGTGCGACCATCTGAGCTCAAGCTCAGCTGATTCTCGTCGAGGAGCTTGTCTTGGAGGACCAGATCCTGGCCTATTGTCGAGCTAACGTGAAAGAACATCGTGGTACCGAATACCTTCTTCTCGCTGACAAACACGACCAGATCTCCAGATCCGATCGGCTCGCCCTGCCCGTAAGTTCTGAAAGCTGGTTGCACCCGGAAGATGGCGTGATCGCTCCCTCGGTCCGTCATCTCCAGCGCTCGAGTGCTTTTCTCGAACCCGCGCAACTTCGAAACGGTGAGGAACAACCCCGAAGCCACGTGCTGCAACTGGATGCTGTCTCCGAATAGTATAATCTTCCCTTGCCTCCTTGTCAGCTCGGCCGTGTTTGCCTCTTTCTCCTCCTCCATGGCAGCGACACTCTGTACAACTTCTTTCACTGCCTCCACGTTATGCAAGTTGTGTTCGGCTGCAAAAGTGGACGCCACGTCATCTACAGTTTCAAACTTTCCTGGCCTAGGAGGCAGAGCAAGACCTTTCCCTTCATCCCACGCTCTCTTCTTCTGGATCTTCTTGAGCGCTTTCGATGCCTCGTACTGACACTTGGGGAATATTCTCCACCGACAGTCTAACATGTTTGTCGGCATCGTGACAGCTTGATTGAAAAATTGGATCAGTGGTCTACTTTTCAAAGACCTGCAATGATGCAGATGTCAGGAGAAATATGAAACTTTGAGCTCTGAAGAGAGAGCTCACCCCGAGTGCATCAAGATGGCATTCTGTCCTTCCGGAATCAGAGCTATCTGATCCCCGAACTTGAGGCTGTCGGATTCATGATCTTCTAGTCCCGACAGCAGACCGCTATATTGCGACTTTTGCTTGGCGCTCTTCATTGAGACTGACTGCAAATATACAAGAGGATAAGCTGTGGCCGAGATGCAGGGGACGGGAAGCCGAATCTACATCAAAACACCAAATACGTCGGGGTCAATCGCCACTTTATGATGGATATTTGACAAGCATGCATAACAGCGCCGTCAAGTAGACTGAGCTCACGTGAGGTTCTGCTCATCAAGGAAGGTTATGGAGAGCATCTCCATCAAGCCCGTCCGACGGTCTATCCTTCTCTCCGTGGCCCCCACTCTGTGACCATTGCGGCAGACATGAAAGTTGATAGGCACTGCATGGTCTAGCATGGTCCTAGCAAGAGCCTTACACAGGTAAAAAAGACTTTACGACTGCGGTTAACTTATAAAAAACGTTGCTCGTGTCAATCCCTCAGTGTCGCTGCCGGGTCGATTACCCGGCCCGCCGCCGGTTGGTTACAACTGTAAAGCTTAAAAAACTTGCTACGTCGCAATGCAATGCGGTGAGGGTGAAACAGAACGTGATGAGAAATGGAGGGGGAGGGAGGGAGGGAGGGAGGGAGGGAGGGAGGGAGGAAGAGAGGGAGTGAGTGAGTGAGTGAGTGAGTGAGTGAGTGAATGAAGGAGGGAGGGA